ATATATATTCTGATTGAAATCTATTCTGATGCAATGACATTTATACATACAAGATGCACACATGCTTTCACACACTCGTTAAATATAATTCTTGTGTGAATAATTGCACATATTTGTATATAATTAACATTTTTCAAATTATAATTAAAAATTAACATTAACTTAACATTTATTTTTCTTCCTTGTGCATATATACATACATATATGTAAATATGCATGTATATATATATATATATATATATATATATATATCAAAACGTGACTGTCGGTGTATCGCTTTAACTTTAAACCCAATTGAATAAAACGTTCAATTTATCAGTTTAATAATGATTATGCACAACCAAAAAGAAATTTTCTGAATACCGGAATGAATTTTTAATCCAGTGATAAATTTCATAACATAACCTACAAATAAAATGATAAATATGATCTACTTAAATCAGAATATTTAAAAAATGAGCCTGATTTTTAATTAATTTTTGAAATAATGAATGAAGATTAGTTAAAAAACATTGAGATTAAATTCAACATGATTTAAATTGCTATAAGAAAATTGGTAATATTTTATATTGTAACTGTAAATATTGATATACAAGTATAAAAATTATACAAATATGATGGATCAACTTGATTGCTCACATTTATTATATAAATAAATATATGTATTAACTACGTATATAGTTTTTTAAGTATAGAAAATGATCACGTTGATCTTGCATATTCTCATAGTTTCTTAACTTTCACGATACTTTCACTACTAGATATCTCATAAAATAAAAGGAAATCTTTTCATTTATATATACTATTTTGGCCTTATTTTAATTAAATTCTTAATTTGTATTTTATTTTATAAATTCTTTTCATAATTGTATATATATATATATATATATATATATAATATATTTATTTATTTATTTATTTATATTATAAAAACATATATATTTATATTATATAAATCAAATAATATAAATAATAAATAATATGTATATATGTATAGGGATTATATAATATATATTTTATGAACAAATTATAAAATGTCAATAACAAGTAAAATGTTCATTATGTTCTAGTTTCACGCAATACATCATACGATGATGCAACAATTTATTTCTTGGATCATACGATTATTAAGATTTCATAAAAAAAATTGTTATTGATTTTAAAATAATAGTAATCTTACTGAAAATTTTATTTGTTTTCATACTTATAAACTATTTAAAAAATTAATAATTTGTAATAATATTTTTAATTCATATTAATTATTAAGAAACATAATTTAATTTTGATGTTTTCATACAAATTATATTTCCAATTATGATATAAAATTTATTAATTAAAATACAAATTTCTATTAACAATTATAATAATTCACGTGTACATTGCATCCGAATTTTAAATAGTATTTGGAGTGCAAACGTCATATTTCTTTAAGTTTATTAATCATAAAGAAAATATCATCAGTAATCATGTATTAAAAAATGTAAATATTACAAAATAATTCTGAATAATTAATAATTGTTAATGCGTATTATTTTTAAATCAAATAAAAAATTTTCAAATTATCGTCACTCAATAGTGACAATAATAGAAACAGTATTATTCAATTGCATAACAATATTTTTATAATTGTTTTATGGTTGTAAAGTAAATGTGATTTTGTTATTTACTTTTTATTTTATAATTTGTAACAATTTTAATGATATATCAATGTATTCAAGAGACAACATTAATGATATTTTTTTTCAATGTATTCTCAAATTCAAAAGTAATAGGCAAAACTCGTACAAAAAATATAAATCACGCATATATTGTATATATATAATTTCTAACGCTTTCTTCATTTTTTATTATCAATATAACATATTAATGTAGCAACAATTCCAAATAATAAGGAATTCACTTGTCTGGGAACTTGTAAATTTAATAAAAAAATAATGAGTCATTATAAACAACATCTATAATATGACTCATCATTTGATGATTCCTGCTATATTAGCATATACTAGTGAATAATTTACTCCGAATGTAGATATTGCATTACTATATTCCTAAAAAGTATTTATAAAAAATAGACATAAGATAATCTACATCGATATTCTCAAAACGCTGTAAAAGTTGAAGCTCTTATGTGACAAGACTTTAATTTCCCTTTACTTTTAGTCAATACTGAGATAAAGCTATGGCAAATAATTCGAAGAAAGGTAATAATGAGTCAAAAGTGCCGCATCTCGAGGTATTTGAACGTGTAAAAAGCATTCCAATCGTTCAATCGGCAATTGAGAAAACGGGATCCACCTACTCATATGTCAAAGATTCGAACAATTTTATAAACTGGGCCCTAAATTATGCCGAGGCTGGTCTTCATTATGCTACAGCAACAGCTGCCCCAATTGCTGCCCCCTTAGCGAAGAAGTTCGAAGGGCAAATAAATACTGTTGATCAGAAACTTTGCCAAGGTTTAGACATCGTGGAGAAGAAAGTGCCAATTGTCAAAGAACCACCCACGAAGGTAAGGCGAGAGCTTAGTTACATGTTGTCAAATTAATATAAGTTTATCATTAAGAGAGTCTATTATCATTATTAAAAAATTATCATTGTTTAAACTGTGCAGGAAGAATAGGATAATATTTTGTCATGTTATTTTAGGCATTGCAAAATCAGTAAGCAGTATATTTATGTATATTTTCTTGTCTTTAATCATGATTAAATAATTTGTTCATTTAAAATACTTAGATTGAATGAATGGAATAAATTGAATTTTTATGAGTATCATTATATTTCATTAAACATCTGTATTTAGCACCTATATATATATATATATATATATATATATATAACAGTAATAAATTATTTCAGTTATAATACTATTACTTTTTTTTTTTTTTAATAAATGGTAAATAATTTTTTGTAAACTATATATACTAGCTTGCATTTAATCGTTAGTTTTTATAATTAAACTTAGCTAGCAATTAGTCATAAAAGTTTTTTAACGTTAGTACTAAAGTTATGATTGATAATGCAAATTATAAAAACGTATACAAATATATTAAGCTAGTAATTAATCCATATCGTGTAAGCTCTAATGTAACTTAATTTTTCCTCCAAAGAACTCGCTTTGTCTGTTATATCTGCGTTATACTTAATTTAAAATACTTTATATAAAATGAGATAAAATTCAGATTACCTTTTTAATATCAATAGCTCAAATCAATAAAATAATCCTCTTTTATATTTTATTATTAATTTATTTACACAGAAATATAGTAAAAAGTGTATAAAAATTGGTAATAATATTTCAAAATAAAAGTACTAATGTAAATCAAACCATATAAACTTCTTTAATAATTAATTAGCAGTATCAATAGTAAAAATTTATTTGATTTAACTATAAAAAATCGTCACTCCAATATCTCGAATATTCGTAAAACCAATTAAATCCTAACACAATTGAAATTATTAGAGGTTTTTGCATAAACTATAATTTGATTATAAAAAAATTAAAACAGTTTTTCACAACATGAAATTTTCGTATCTTACATTGGAATCTATTTTTATTTGAATATTTGCGCACCTATTTATATGTAGACGAAAACATCGGTTAACCGATAACCGGACGAGCCTATGTCATCGAAAACGATCGCATTGTTATTAAACACTGTATTTCATATATAATTATTTGTAGTATATCTACTTTTAAGTAGTGTATGACTTAAAGCTACAAATTTTAAAATAAAGATTTGGGTAAATTTACATGCGGCAATTGTTATTATGATTTATTAATTTTTTAGTTTGTTTAACATATTGCTATTTTAACATAATTTAACATTCTACAAAACATATTGCTGATTTTACATTGTGAAAAGCTTAAAATGCAATGACATCATGCCATGTCATTCATTATATTAAGATATAAATTTTATATTACATATGCTTTACTGCAGTATAATAAGTTTAATAATCTTCGGCAATAAATATAATTATTAGAAAGTTATATTTGTCAATATATAGTATAGTAAAACAATGATTTATTTAGAAAAAAAATTGAAAGATCACATTAAATTTTATGCTTATCTTTATGTGTACTGCTGCTACACTTATAAAATACTTAATACACTTATTAAACTTAAAAACCTTGAAATTCTTTGATATATCTATTGCTCAAGTAGAATATTTTTATAAAAAAAGTAATCATATTTACTTGTTGTTCATTTAACGCCTATCTATCAACGTATTCTTCATTTATATAATAATTATAGGAAAGAAAGATCTTATATCAATGTATTCTTATATAAAATCAATGAATACACTATTATTATTATTATTTAAATATTCCAAAATAAGTGGAACTTTTGACTTCATTTAACTTTTAACCATATTTTCTATTCCTTATCAAATACAAAACATTAATAAGTTATATTAATAGCATCATCATCATCATCATCATCATCATCATCATCATCATTATCATCATCATCATCGTCGTCGTCGTCGTCGTCGTCGTCTTCGTCTTCGTAGCAACTAGTATCATTACCACTGAGCACACATGGAATTAATATTCCACCGTTTTAAACATGTAATAAACGAAAATCATTATTAATCTGCATTTAATTATTAGCATATTCACTTATGAATATTATTTTACTCTATTATTCAGATCTACGAATCCGCAAAATATGTGATGAACAGCTCGCTTCAACCGACAATCGAAAAGTTAATGTCTGCCAAGGATTCGGCCACCACTCAAGCAACGGCCTTAAAGGAGATTAGTGTCAACAAAGCTAATGAGATACTTAACACTCATTATGGATCTATGGCTGTTCAAGGCGTTGACAACACAAGCGTGCTGGTGAATCGTCTTCTGGATCACTATTTCCCGCGTGTAGAGGATGAAGAAGAGAAGCCAGGTAGTATTGGAATTATCATTGATAAATTTATTATAAAGTCTGTAGAATAACATTGGTTGTGTCTTATGAATGTATATTGCGAGTGGATAAGAGTTGAGATTCAGTTAACCAAATTGAATAATCAATGAACAATGAAAATATAATTAAGAATTAAAATTAAAATGCTATGTCAATTAATACTTCAAATAATACGTCAAATAATGCTATGTCGATTAATACTTATAAATAATCTTCGATTTGATTCATTATGAAAGTTTCTTGAAATTATTTTCATTAAAATTATTCAAGTGGAATATAAATATATGTAGATATAATGTTTAAAGAATTCTCTTCTATTAATTATTTTTAACAGCGTTCATGCGGGATATCAATATTTTTGCATTTTTAATATAATTATTGTAGCAATGGAGCTTCAATTAATAATAATAATAATAATAGTAATAATACATAGTCACTGTTAATGTCTTCTCTTAATTTCTCATAAAATGTCAATTATTAAAAAAAAAAAATAAAAAAAAAAATTATTAATTAGAATTTTCACAATTTCCAGCACCAGTTTCAGCCGAAGAAAATAAAGTATTACATGCTGTACAAACAATCGGACAATTATCCACGAAAACTGCCACCAGGGTCTATCATTCTGTATCCGCACAATTAAAAACTATAAAGAAAGAAGATGTCGCGAATTATATGGCAAGTGTTGTTTCGATTCTTCATTTAGCAAACTTTTTGAATGTGAGTCAGAAGGATGACACAGGCTGTAGTTCAAACAATCAATCAACAACATTAAACGATGATAAGCTGAAAGACTAAATACAATTATAACGTTGACATAATTTATAAATGAAATGCTATCAAAGATTAATTGTGATTAATTTAAAACAAAATAAATGTTCAAAACTTTTTTGAGATAATATATGGTAATATTATAAATTTAGATATATTTATTAAAATCACAGGATATAAGTAAAATAAATCATATCAAACAATTGCGAGTGTTCTCATGAACTATATGTTTATGCTAAATCATTAAGTACAAGATTTTACAAAATTTTTGATACATGCATATTGTACTTCTAATAAGTATACTTTAAAATAATATTTTTTGAATGTTTTAATAAATACAATTGGAGAATACATATTATGAATATTATTTCAATCACCACCTTTCAAACTCCTTAAATAAACGACTTATAGGTCAAAGTGAAATTAAAAACTTTTAAAATACATTATATAAATGTAATACAACATTTTCAATACTTTTAATAGTTTTAAATACTTTTTCATTTTATAACACGAAATATATAATGTATAAAATTTCGCAACTTTAACAATTTTCCGAATATATTATCTATAATATTTAAAAATCATAAGAATAATAAAAAGAATATCGTTTTAAATCATTAGAAATTGTTAACTATTTTTTTGTTGTTTTCATTAATAATAAATGTTCACTTTAGAATGTTTTTTATAGTAAGAATATTCAACATAATCGTAGACATTTTGAATATAATTTAGATTTATCAATATTTAAAAAAATCCGTATTATATATATATATATATATATATATATATAATTATTACGGGTTACGGTTGTTAACTTGCGGTTGTTTTTTATGTATTTATATGCATATACATTAGCTTTCATTTAACTATTAATTTTGAAAGTTAAATTAAACCTGCAGTACTTACGCGAAAACATTCGCTTCCGTGCTTGAAATTTAATAATTTTTTACAAAATTCATTTTAGCCTCTTACACATATAACCGTAGTATTAAAGAAAGATAAAACCAGAATTAAAAAAGACGGGAGTGCGATAACAACTTGACAACTCTGTACCATAGTAATGTAGTTGCCGCCGTACTGCTAAACTATGTTTAGTGTATAGTAAAGTTTTATTTTGTTTACAAGTAATAATGTCGATTGAAAAAGTAGAGAGGTAAGAACAATTAAACATTTTTATGACTGCTTTAATTTCAATTATATAAAAATTTATTAATTTAATAGAAATAACATGAAAGTTCATACACTAATTAGATTTTTTCACATAAAATTGTAATATTTGAGGTTAGGAATAGTAAATTTATATATTTGAATGTAAAATAATAAAAATTCATTTATGCAGCACTACAGTAGAAATTGTGGATAATCCCAAGAATAATATAATGGACGAAAAATTAAATAATAAGTATGAAGAAAAGCCAAAAACCGATAATAAAACGGAAGAATCAGGTGATAAAGTAAATGGACGTAATGCTGTCAGCGAAATTGGAAATTGTTATTGGTAAGATTATAAATAAGTATAATTGTGAGTTACATATGGTGTTTATGTCATGAAGTTTATTTTCGTTTAGTGGAAAAGATAGAAATTTAAATATCGCAGAGCTGTTGTGTGCTAGCTGTACCAGATGGTTTCATGAGTCTTGTATTGGATATCAATTAGGAAAACTTGTACCTTTCATGACAAACTATGTATTTATGTGTAAAAACTGCTCACAAACTGGATTAGAAAGTTTCAAAAAGAATCAAGCTCGTAAGTTAGAGAAAGTAATTATTATAATATGTTTATTTATTTCACATGACTTCTCACAAACTTCTATGCTCTGTTCTATTTAATAGAATTTCCACAAATGTGTGTCACTGCTATTGCAAACTTAATACAAAGTTGTCAGAAGGAAAGCAATAATAGGACATTCTTTCATAAGGATCGAGACATTATTCCTTTTATAGAATGTCATTGGGAAAGTATGACAACGATGCCACGGAGGGTAACACAATCCTGGCACTCGCGAGTTAGTATTTGAGTTTAAAATTAATTTGACTTTTACAAAAATTGAAAAGCATTTATCGGCAAGTACTTTAAGTAAAAAATCAATACCAAATTTTAAAAGATAATTTGATATTAAGGCTTATATGTTTGAGATTATATTATTATTCGGTATTGTATTGATTGTATTAAAAAATATTTACAATATTTAAAAGAGCTACTAAAATCCACTGGCCTGTTTTAGTAAATGAATGTAATTTTCTTCTCGTTTATAAATTAAAGATTCACAAAGCTTTAACAAAAGATCTTGGAACGCTTTTCATAATGGATGAGAGTTCCACCGATGGCCAACTATATGGGCTCGCAAGTTCGGATTTAATAACTATTAAGCCAAATTATGAGGGAATGGTTAAAGGAGGTATGTGTTACAACTATTAATAAAGAATTAGAATGGTAATTTTATCAAAATTTTTATATAATCATATGTGATCATTACAAACCATTGTTATTTTAAAAATTGTATTAGTACATCTTCAGTTAATTTTATTCTAAACATTTATTTTAAGCAAATTATCATTATTTACACAAATGTCACTATTGAATGACTAATTTATCAAATTAACATTAATTGTTTACCATATTACATATTACAACCAAAAGTTTCCATTACTTTTTGTCTTCTGTATGGATAAATGAAATTATAAACAATATTCTGCATACCTAAACTACTACCAAAAACTTTAGCACCAATTCCCGGTGGAATCCGTGGACGCAATGCAAAACGAAAATTTCCTGGTGAGGGTACTGGGACTGGACCAGGCAAAAAAGGTAGAGGATCCGATATGACGACACCAAAGTTACCAGCACACGGTTACCCACTTGAGCATCCCTTTAATAAAGATGGTTATAGGTATATTTTAGCCGAGCCTGATCCACATGCACCATTTAGACAAGTAAATTCATGAAACTTTATGTAAATTTATCTTCTTAACATATAAAGCCTTCTTGGATTAAGATATATTGTATTATATTATAAATTAGGAGTTTGATGAGAGTAGCGATTGGGCTGGAAAACCTATACCAGGTTGGTTATATAGACCCTTGAGTGCAAGCGTGGTACTTCTTGCACTACACGATCGAGCACCACAAATGAAAGTTTCTGAAGACAGATTGGCGGTTACTGGTGAAAAAGGATATTGCATGATCAGAGCCACACATTGTTAGTTATTTAAGATTACTAGATTTAAGAAATACATTCATATAACTTTAGCCTTAATGGTTTGATAAGGGTTTGTTCGATATCTTATATTTTAGCAATTTGTAAAGGGGTATGGTATTGGGAGGCAACTATAGAAGAGATGCCCGAAGGTTCTGCAACTAGACTTGGTTGGGGACAAGAATATGCCAATTTACAGGCTCCTTTGGGATATGATAAATTTGGTTATTCTTGGCGTTCGAGGTAAATAATATCTGTAGAGAGGTCGAGTTAATTTATGTATATGTAAATTAATTGATGCCTCGTGAATATTTGATATTTTTCAGAAAAGGTACGCGTTTTCACGAAAGCAGAGGCAAGCATTACAACAAAGGATACGGCGAAGGTGATACATTAGGATTTCTAATAGTCTTGCCAGATCTGTATAGTCCAACTCATATTCCTAATACGTACAAGGATCGTGTTAGTATTACAAATAATATTTTTAACATTTATTATACATATTTACTTAGAGATGATAAAAGATTTTTCACTGTAATTGTAGCCATTAGTAAAATTTAAAAGTCATTTATATTATGAAGAAAAAGATCAAGTTCCCGAAGCTATTCGAGCTTTGAAACCTCTTTTAGGAAGTAAAATCATATATTATAAAAATGGAGTTTCGCAAGGAGAAGCATTTATAGATATTTATAATGGTGCTTATTATCCATGTATTTCTATTCATAAAACTGCTACGGTATCTGTAAATTTTGGACCACATTTTAAATATACACCAAAAGACTTAAATTTTAGAGGGGTAAGTGATATGATTGAATCTTAATTTTTATAAAAAAAGTATTTGCATAAACTGTTTTACCATTAATTTAAATCAAATTGCATTAAAATGAAATGACAATGTAGTTTGACACGTTATGCATAAAAATTTCTCAGCTATACTCATTTCTTAACTGAAAATGTAACCTGATTATTTAACAATTATTATTGTATAAACACTGTTTTTCAAGTAATTGAAACGAAATGAAAGTTGACATTTACATTTCATAAAATATAATTTGATTTTTTTATAAATTTTTATTTTTTCCAGATGTACGAAAAGGCAGAAGAAGCAATAGCCGAACAGTCAATGGCGGACATGCTTTACTTCACAGAGAACGAAGGAAAATTAAGATTAGACACCTTCACATTATGACATTAGTGAACATTTTTTGTTTTGTTTTGTATTATTTTAGGTAAAATTATAAAACAGTACACCTTCGTCATATAGCTCGAGCAATTATTAAAATGAAAAAAATTTTTTTTTGTTTTATTTCTTTGATAATTTAATTCAAAAGCCATTTTTGCATTAGAAAAATTAATTATATACATATATTTTTTATTCTTTTAAGTTTTCTAAACAAAGATATTGTATAAAGATGTAAGTAATATATAAAATTGACTATATATTTACATTTATAATAAATAAAATTATCTTATATCTTTTTAAAAAATATGTGATGTAATATAGTTTTTTACAATTTAGCTGATTATACCTATATGATAATTCTATAATATTTGACAAAATGGGATTGTCAAAATTTTTTATATAGAATTGTAGTATAGTTTAAAATTTATAAAAATTATTTACCAAATCCACCTTTACAACTAGGACTAGGTTTAATATTCTTGTCACTTACTTCCCATTGAGTTGGTGTTTTTGCCTTGGAAAATTAATATTATATTTTTAAACGAAGTAAGTAAACATAGACTGAATATTGTATACTCACTACAATTGAAAGTGCATGAACTCCATTTTGCAATTCGTCGCTAAGTAAATCCATAACCATTCGATGTCTCTATATTGGAATAAAATATCTTGTTCAAACATAATAAATTATTGTCTGATTAATAAAACGTTGGTTCTTTAAATCTTTATTTACCTTAATCAATGGCATGTTTTCAAATTTTTGTGATACAATGATAACCTTAAAATGTGTTTCCGAACCCTTTGGGACATTGTGCATGTATGATTCATTTGTTACGTCCATATGCACTGGTAGAAAAGTTTCCTTTAATTTCTTTCTAATCAATAATTCCACGGGTTTTGGATACAATAAATTGGTCATACTGCGAATTAAAATGTTGCAACTGCAATTATAACCTGTAAATACCATGAGCAAATTATATTCACTTTCATAAAAATAAACGGTAATTGTAAAAAAAATTAATATTTATAGCAGTTTTTAATCATACGAGAATGAATGGAATGTTTTTTTCAAGTATCGGACACACGAATTCTTGTTTATTTCCCTCGGCTCACTTACCTGGTATTATTTGAGCCAAAAATCTTAACATTTACAAATGATTTTAGTTTTATTAATAAAAGGTAAAAATAATTAGTCCGTTCTATTAGATGACAAGTCCAATTATAAGAAAATATCGTTATTTATTTGGATACGCTTAAAGCAACAATGCACAACTGCACGAGCAGATGCTTGTATTGTTACTGCAAGTGTACCACGTGATTGTTCGCGGTTTGCATTTCATTTCTCTCTGATATAATATTTAATGCCTATTTTGAAAATAAAACGAAGTGTATAGTGAAATATTATCGATAAAATTGAAAAACAAGAATTTTTTATGAAAATTTTTTATCTGCAAAAAATTAATTGATTAATATTCGATTAGTGAGCGTTTCCTCCAATAGCAATTGAGATTATTTTTCTTACAATAACAATTAGTGATTGTAATAAGGTAAGTTTATTCGATTTAAATTCGTCATCGAATTCAGTCGCTGAGTAGCAATAAAAAGAATAATTATTTTTTTATTTTTTTTTTTCAAACCGCACGTTTTTCAAGATTATGATCTGATCTGCTTTTAAATTTTACAATAAAAACAATTTACTTTATGTTGTACATAATTATACAAAATGATCTCTCTTATGAAGATGAAAAATTAAACAAATTTATTTCCAAGAACCAGCATTACCGTTAGCATTTATAACGATAATATGACATAATGAATTATGAAGGATTAGAAAATTATAACAGCAAAGGAACATAAGTTTGAAATACTTTATTTGATATTGTTGTATTCGAACATTGGAAAAGAAAGAACGTAAAGCTGCGTAAAGGCTTTTCTAATGATACAACTTGTTTGAAAATTTCGCATTATTATCAAGTGACTAGGAAATAAAAGAGCGCAGCTTTAAACTATCGAATCCTTTTACATAAAAAGAAGGTACGGCTTGTTTGTCTTTTCATCGTTATTACATACATTTATCAGATATGTGTTTAGGCACATTATAGGTCTTCATTCTTTACAATGTATAGCTTTGCCACTATCAATTCCATGTAAATTCATCGTATTATTCGTAAAATAATTTGCCGCGAGCAGAGTTCAAATCGAGATGAATTAAACAAGGCATATACGAAGGGATGATCCTTCGTGCAGGCTGACCAGCGATGTTTTCCATACTCGTTTATTAACATTTAATTTTGTTATTACTCTCTTCTGGTTGAATGTGCTAATATTTGAAAATGAGACGGGTCACGGATTTTAGGATCAGATGCACAAGCCTTTCTAAAATGACAATTCGTTCGAATACGCGCGCGCGCGCGCACACACACACACCACGCATATATTTACACAGACGCACACACGCTCGCACACGCACACACACACGCACACATATGCCTACGCATACATTAATATACACATACATATATACATATATACATACATATATATATATATATATATATATATATATATATATATATATATATATATATAT